AAGTTTCTTATCTCTGTCAATGTTCGACCATACACAGGGTGAGGCTGCATAAATGGCTGACTGCCAGTACTTAATGATCTCCTGCTGAGACCTTACTACTACATTCACAACTCAAAAGGCTGACAAATGGTTGCCACAATCACACTTATAGCATTAACCAGCTTATGGTGTAAGCACACTAAGATGAGCCCAAACAACGGATGTCTATACCAAGATAAATCAACTTATAAAACCACATAGGCAGATTAGGTGTCTAATTCCACTGACCCTCTGAAATAAATCTGGGTTTATTACCCAAAGAGCCTCCAAACCTATGACTCAAGCCAAGTTTTAACAGCTGCTCAAGCAGACAGATTGCTAAAGACCCTCAACCACCAGATGATCCGGTCAAGCAATCCTTACCAGGCTACATACGGTTAAATAAATCTATTTCATTAGCTATGCACCACATTGGCCAAATCTGTTTATTTCCACTTATAGTGATTTGCCATTAAAGAACATTCTAATGTAAGACAAAAAGTGTATGGTTAATTTAACGAAGAGTTGAATTGAGAACATTTTAAATTCTAATCTAATTACACATCTCCACACAACATCCACTTGCTTGTCTCATATGTAATTACATATACAGCAGACATGCTTTAATTTGTTTTAACAATGCCTCAAGTATTTTACCTTCATTTTACACCTAATGGTTTTTCATCATTGATACTTAGCAGTCAAACTAAAGATCCATGTTAAATATGATATTATCTACAAACTACAAGAGGCTAAAGAAAGTAGTGCTAGTTAACATGAATACTTAACTAGCACCGTGGGCAAGGAGAGAAATGCTAGAATGTGGAAAATGAAGGATAGTAAATTAGATAAAATGTTTACGTGTATATATAGTGTATAATTAATATGCATTTGTTTTATTTTACTGAATACATTTGTAATGTTATTTGTTGGCATTGTAACGTAAAAAAAGTTAAAGTTCATACATTCATAAGTTATCTGATACAAAACTGGCATATTTATATAAACATAATTTCACATCAGAGGATAAGATAAACATGTTTCTGTTCAAATGTAACTACTGAATAGTATTCAATTTGTGCTGCAAATAAATCACTCGGATGAAAATAATTACCTTTAATGGCCACTGGGGCATGAAGATTGCCTTTTATTAAAGGTCACTATATCAGAGCTTGCAAGCCTCAAACATGTGCTGTAACAAAGCATTTTAAAACATAAGGTGACTGTGTGTCATCCTCATCTGAACAGTTCATAAATGTTAGGTCTTAAAGCGGTAACTGTATATAGATATGCAATAAAGTAATTTAAATTTGAAAGCAGGTGGTAGGAGGATGAGAAGTGATATGTTTTGGCACAGATGACAAAAGTAATAAGTGGTTGTGGGGGCTGGTTTGCCATTGTTGTTACAACAATGACAAATTGAGATTAACAGGTCAAAAAGACAGTGGTCGATAATGCCAGTTAAGTTGTTGTGAGTGTGTCATGCCCCAGGGCAAGAGTGTTGGAGTGTTGCAGACTGGAGTTTGGGTGTCTGGTGATTGCACCCAGACAGACTCCAAAGCTTTACATGCAATATGGTGTCTGTCATATTTTTTGGTTGAACAGCAGGAACTCAAAATGCATCATGCGAATGTCCGAAGAACTGTGAAGGGTGGACCAAAGTGAGTCCTAAAGCCCTTTCGGCATAGGGGGGGCAGAGACGGTGGGCTTAGTCAGATTCAAACTGTGGTCCAGATGGCCAAAATGTTGGGGCTATTTCACAAACAAGTCTATCATCTAAACTTAATGTCAGATGGGAGTACTTAATAGTAAGTCATCCCTGCCTGTGGCCAACAAACTCCTGCCAGGCACTCTGAGTCAATAGACTGGACATTTCACCATCAGAGGCCAACCCCTTTTAAAGTGGACAATTCAGCATTAATATGGTATTAATGCTAATACCCCACTGTATATATTGTAGTATACAAGTTGTATTTTGTAGAACGATGTGCACATTTTTACTTTAACTTCTTATGTCTGTATACATTTTTTTCAACATTTTTTATTCAATTTTATTGGACATTTTACTTTGACTTCTTATGTTACATAGGCATATTTATTGAATTGTATTTAATATTTTTGTATTTATCCTCTATTTTATTAAAAAAAAAAAACTATTCCCCTGTGAAAATGACATTATGCAGATTATGATTTACTGACATTTTAAATTTCAACACAACAAAATGCAGAAAATCTGGCCTTGGGCAATGTTTAAAGGTCCCATGTCATGCTTTTCCGGTTATTACCCGTCCCCTTGTGTGTTATGAAGGTTTTCATGCATGTAAACGGTCTGCAGAGTCAAAACCCTCAAAGTACACCCTGTAGCGAGTAAAACTCTAACACAGAAAATACCTCCCCAAAACGCCTTGTTGGAGATACGTCACTTTCCATTTATTCTTCCGGGTACCGCATGATGTCATGCGTTACCCGGAACCAAATGGACCAATCCGTGGAGCCGTTACGTTCGCGGAGCCGTTACGTTAAGCCCCCGCTGATTGGTCCAAATTGACCAATCCACGGACTTCCTCACACAAACACTCAGTGCAGGCAGCTCTGCTGATCTCTCCTTCCTGGCTGCAGGCTGATAACAGAAAGTTGGGATCGCGGCGAAATTCTCTCTGCAGACCCATTCTCACAGCGTTTATCAACCTTTTTCTTACTCAATATCAAGCCACACTTATTGTTTTTACTTCGGCTGTGACTTTGTGTGTGCTCAGGGTGAGTTTGGCTGTGTTTCGCTGTCGCTAAACAAGGAAACCACACCTCCACGGAGCTCAGCGCGATTCACAACATCCCGACCAATCAGAGCACACTGTGCTCACAGGGAGGGTGGGGGCTGGAGCTATTGGAGCTAGAACGAGCCGTTAAAGGCAGAGAGTGAAATTCAGTGAGTACACGTAGTTTACAGAGATGCTGTATGAGAAACCAAAGTGATTTTGGAAAATTGCACAATATAAATCTATTCTAGTAGACCTCAACAATGGAATTATGATCAGTGGAAATGGCCATGACATGGGACCTTTAAGTAAGATGCTTGATCTGACTAAAGTGCCTAATGATGAATTAGACTGGGACTGTAACCTCTGTAGCTCTATTTTTTTTTTATGTTTCTTGTGACTCATGTCACTAAATCTGAGCAATATCCTAGTCTTCAAGTGATTTTGCTTATTTTAAGCCAATGGTCTTCAATCCTTAATTTACGTTTTAATTGGCAATAGTTTGCTTTGTATTTGTAACAGATGCTTGTCACAGTTGCTGGGTACATCATTTGAATAATTGTCAAAGTGTGACATATGACAGTATATATACACGCTATAATCTGTCAACAATTCACGTACCTGTCAATCACTGCAGATTACTGTAAATTAAATGGATGGAAATGAATGACATTGAAACTATATAAAACAAATGACTTTCATTATTTTAAATGTTTTCTCTGTATGTATTTTACAGCAAATCCCACTAATCAACAAAAAAGCTAATCTTGGTTTAAAGATTAGTTCTATAATAGTTTTGTAAAAAAAAATATGGATTTATTTGTAGGTCATTTGAGGAAAAATACAATAAAAAATAACTACAATTCTGGATGTTCTTAAGTTAGCCACTTTGTATATCTATCTTCATTTAGTCAAATGGATAACAACAAACTGCATTTGTGGTAATCTGGTTCATAACATCAACCAGGAAATGTTTTATTTCTTTCATCCAAAAGCAAAAAGATTAGACCAAGATGAACTCAGATTTGAAAGTACATAAAGTTTGGAAAGTTACAGTTTTATCAGTCAAACGAGGTTAATCTTTTTAATCTGACAGTTAACAGTGATAAGCTCAACAGTCTTTGACATTTAAACATCTGCTGGAGCAAAATGACAATATAGTTACTACTGGATAGTCCTGGCAACTGTAACAGTTGCCTTTTGTGCAAACATTAGTGACAGTTGAACAGTCATAGAGAAAATAAATTAACCAACAACCTCAATGATAAGGTATTCAATAGCAAATAAATTATTAAACAAGTAAACTCAATTAAAAACAACAATTATATATACAAAATATATAGCAGCATGTCAAAATGAACTAGAGATTTTCATTATATATAAATGTTTGTGAAAAAGCATCAATAAAAGACTGCGCCTCTACTATACTACCATCTTATTAAATTAACTCTGATAGTGTGAACATAATCCCTCCTGTTTATTTATAAGCAGACACAAAACAATTTATGTTTTTGAACATTTAATTGTAATGAGAAAATAATCAAATGCTCAATCATATTGATTAAATCATAAACTTCCATAAATCTGACTGACGATTGCCACGTGCCTTTATGAATACACTAGCAAAGAATCCTCTCCTGTCTTTAAAGCACATAAAAAAAAAAAAGAAGCAACTTAAAGGTCTACAAATCAATGGAGCTATAACACTTTGCAGAGGCAATTAAAGAAGCTGTGACATGTTGTACTCCGCCTTTGTTTGATACTAAGTCGGATTATGGAGGGGTGGGAGTGGTTATTGATTGAAATATGCCTCCTGGCACAGCATGTTCTAGGTACAAGTGACAAACAACAAATCAGGCGCTAATCCTGCCATGATAAAAGTTGCTGCAGGATATTGTTACTGTAAAATACTGTACAAGACTGGGCTTTTGCAATTTCTTAGCAATCATCATCTGTCATGTCAGCAACACATTCAAATGTGAGTCTTGCTGTGACTACTTGCTTTGTATCAATTGTCATTTATTTAGAAAAAACCTTGTGTACTTAGTAGGGCCTCGTTTTAGACATTTAAAATCCTTTTCAGAAATCTACGCAAACTACAACTGGGAAAAGATGAACTATCGAACCTCACTGTAAGACTTTTCATTTTAAAGAACAAAGCTGGTGATACTTTATATTTTTCTTACATTGGACATTTTAACATGTATTCACATTCATTAAATGTACCTGATCTTGAGCCATGTCACGAGGGCAGTGGATATCTGCTGCGATTAAAGCTCCTGACAGCACTAGGCTTTGGGACAAACAGCCTTTGCACTGAAGAAATCTGGTTACAGAGCCCTTCTCAGTATTCCAGATGGCATTATACGCTGCAGGAATGAGAAGCAGGGCGAAAGCATGTCACTTTATTGACTTGAGAGAGAAAATGTGCCATAAAAGGATCAAAGTTAAAGGTTAACATGTTAATATGAATGCTAAATTCTGTTTGGGATGAGAAAAGGGACTCATCTTTCCCAATCTACTGCTACATTTAAATAATCATAATTTAGCATGAGATGATACAAAACACAGACCTACATTTAAAAAAAAAAAGAGCAGTCACAACCTTGTGCATTTACCAAATGTGAGTACTTGTTATTTTATCAAAGTTACCCCCCTGGCAAAAAGATTTAAAACTTCATTTTGTATGTATAATGCTATTGAGGACCAGTCCCTAACAAACTCATCAAGAGTTCCTCTTAATATATATGATCTAGTAAATTGGAAATCAAGCTTTTTAAACCATGCTAAAATAATTTGTAAGAATTTTTAATCATCATGTACTTTTAGCAATGATTACTCCGATATATACTGCGGAGAACCCTATTTACTTCTTCAATAATGTTTATTACACCATATGGCAACCCACCAGTTAAAGTCTTATCACAGTAGGGTTGGAGAGCAGTCCTTAGGGCCTTCAATGATGGGACACTTTGGACTACTAGCAGTGAGTTGTCTGAAAGTGATTGCTGATTTGTTGCACACTGGCAGAGACGGGGTGTTTTTCCAGAACTAAATCTGTCGTTTCTCAGAAAACCTAAATGTTCAGATTCACAAACAGCACGTCGTAGTGCACCTGAAAAATAAAGTCACAACTGTGAAGATTAAATCAATACCAAATAACATTGGAGAAATAGTTTGACTTGATTTAGCTGTAGTAAACACATTGAAACATTACAGGGTTTTCTCAGGAACTACCATGTGCCACAGGAAGTAGTTCCTTCTCACATATAGAACAGTAGAGTCCCAGAGAGCAGGGCTTGTGGTCTTTGGCTCTCTGAAAGCAGAACAAAAAAGGTATTATCGGGCTTCTTTAATGTTTCAATTATTATGTCCACACCTCTAAATATACTTCATATGCTGTATTGTTTTTCATTTTCATCTGTATCTCTGGTAAACCGTTTAATTCTGACACTGTGTTGACCGAGGTTGTGGAACATTACCATCGTCCGTGTTATCTACAAATGCTTCTTAGTGCAGCACATTGATAAACAGAATCCAACACTACATGACATGTACAGCAGCACTGTACACTGATAGGAAATAGTATATCCATTCACTATGAAATGCTGAACAAAAAGCCATACTTACATGTATTTTTGGAAAGGTCTTTGTAAATCTCCTGCTCTTCTGCTTGCAAGATCTCTGTACTTTTATAGCTTGGTTGAAAAAAAATAAGGTAAAATAAGTATCTGGTACAGCATGTGATGTTTGTAGTAGCTTTTAAAAGAAAATGTATATGTTCATGTTTTCATGAAGGAGATTTCAAGTTAAAAAATCACTATGGAGCACTTTGAACCTTCACTAATCTTTCTAATACTTTGGGTCAAGATGTATTGCAGTTCTTTAACTTTTATTTGACCTACTTTGCAAACCCAAATTGGTCCCTTTTGTAAACAATTTTGCTAATGCATCGTAACACACTGTGTTCAACCTTCTTGATCAATATTGACATGTTTATGCATAGGTTGTTCAAAATGTACATCCTTGGATTTAAAGAGATTAGGACCATACCTTTTGGTTTGGTTGGCTCACTTCCTGTGCATTGCTCAGCTGGACGAGTAGCACTACATCCAGCTGCTTGAGCTTCTTTTATAATCTTCATGTCTTCTTGTTGGGGGGTCACAATGTCGAACTCAGTCCATGTGGAACTACCAGGTGTAATAGGTACTTTTTTGAGAGTTTTGTTCTCCCTAACACCCAAAAAGGACTTTCCTGACTCAGAAATGCAGCCATCATCCTGAGCCTCTGGCAAAAAATGATCCTGATAAGAGCTCTCTTTAACCTTCTCTTTCTTTGAGCGGTACCCTCTGACGGGTTTGGCTCTGAATGTTCTGCTCTTCAAACCCCCAATCACCACCTTTACCTCCTGATCTGTCCTGACCTTGTTAGTCCTCCTCTGGCTGCTTCTGGTCCCAATCTGCTGAAGACTGGCACTCCCTACACTCTTGGCTCCACCTGTGAATTAACATTAAGTCACATTTTTAGCAAATAGATACTGTACATCTGGTAGTTATGGACTGGGAAATTATCGAAAATAGATAAGATTAACCTTTCATTATTCTTTAAATCTACATTGAGGGACATAGCTTAACCATAGCTGCCTCTCTCCCGAAACACATCCGTTACTGCAACAATGTGTCTACATTCAAATCACAAATCAAAACTCAGAGCTGCTTTACATTTTAAGTGTGTTTTTTTTAGATGATTTTTAAATTAATGTTAACATATGTGTTTTTCTATTATTGTTGTTGTTAATATTTAATTATTACGCAGCATCACATAATCAGCAGCTATACACAGCAGTGAGAGATGATAAATAACACCATCTGTCATGATCTTAAAGTTTGAATGGATTGACACTTACGATTAATCTTGTAACACTATCAATTGTAGAAAGGTGTATATTATTTCAACACGTCAGAACTCTCTGCTACATAGTTTCTCTTTTAATAAAACCACGTTGTACATTTTACACATATATAATCTGTTCAATATTTAATATTCCATGTCATATATGTATGTATATATATATATTTGTATATATAATATCTACATGTATATGTTCTATTTTATTTTATTTCTATTCTTGTTTATTTCTAGTTCTGTTTTATTGTAAAATGCCTTGTCTTTTATGCCGCTGCAACGAAAACAATTTCCCAAATTGGGATCAATAAAGTACCATCTTATCTTATCTTAATAGTGACCTTGGAATTAACTATTTTAAGTTTCAGCGTCTTTAACTTTTTTAGTCAGGACCGAAAACGCGACTTCGCAACCATTTACCCAGCAATTTGAATAATGAATTTAATTACATGTGTGCTGAATTGCTAAATAGTTGTCAGATACTCGCAATTCTAGCAGGGGGTGGTCACATGCGATAGCAGACTCCAGTAGGTGTTGGTGTATCTTAGCATTGTAAATTGTAGTTTATTTATTATTGTAAGAAATATACTAAAGGTTGGCCTCAGACTATTAGAAATGCTGTTTGGGTTTTAATGTTCCTCTTTTTTTTCCTAGTAGCTCAGTGTAGCCACTACACTATATTTCCACTTCCTCCCTTACACCTGGGAATTTGTAAAACCATTGTTATGGTTTACGGCACAAATCTGTGCGGATGGAGAGCTTTTTCTGTTGAATGTCCTGTATTTTCAACTAAAAATGTTGTTTTACTTTTACCTTCAGTGATTTCGGGCACATTAGACTAATGGGGGAAAACAGTCATTCACAGCCATTACTGAGTCTTTCAGTAACGCGGGGCTTCCTATTAAGTGCTTTTAACACACATTTGCTGGCCTCTCCACGCTCTGTTTTGATGATCTTAACGAGAGGCCATGCACGATTACATATACAAGGGTCTTGGGGAGGCAGTTGATGAGCGAAGAAAGGCTTTAATGGAACACTTGTCTACTCTGCTCGTCTGCGCAAATCACACATTGGTGAAGTTTGCGCTGTAATGAGACAAATCACATCAGTGTAATCATGTTTAATCTCGGGGGGTTTTATGTCTCCCTTCAAATTAGCCTGTGACTTCAGGTTCTCAGACTAAGACAATCAAATATGGTCGTTAAATAGCTGATTACACAAACATACTGTTTTAGATAGGTCACCGTTAATCCGTGTTTTACTCCATAAATACAATTCTAACATTAAGTAAGAGCTATTAGTGAATTATACAGGACTACAAAAATCACTGTAAATGACTTGTGGGAAATTCGCTGGCTTATTTTTATATTCATTTATTGTGTAAACATGTTTTAACATTACTGCTGTCGAGGTGGAGCTTTCCTTTGCAACAATATGCATCAAGTTGCCAGTTTGTTAAGTCTATTTTTGTTAAGACTCTTACAGTGTTGTTTTGACTTCATGGTCTCCTTTGAATCTGAAGGTTGCCTGTTGTTGTTATTGTGTTGCTGTGCAGAGAGGTGCTTATAAAAACTCAGCTTTTTAGACTGGCTTTTAATGTGTGATCAATGTTGTGTCAAATGTTAGCGAGCTCGATTCTATTCAGATTTATTGACTTTTTATCATTGTTAAGCGTCTTTGAGCACATGTAAAAGTGCTTGACAAATAAAATGTATTATCATCATTATGATTATTTAAGTCTACTCTCATTGCTATAAATAAATAAGAAAATATTAGAACACAATATATTGTCATCAAATTAGGAAGTGGATTAAGTAACTAGCAAGTGTATATACTCAGGTAATGTAATTGATTTATATATATATATATCTCATGTTTTACAGGAAAAGTGTTTTACAGGAAAATATTACATTTTTTATTATTGTATTTATTAGAAATCTGTTTTTATAATTCAGAAAACAGATTTACATATTAAACACATGATCAATTTATAAAATATGGTGAATTTCTTTAGGATTTTACAACCAGTATAAAACTAGCTAAACTGATCCAAGCTGTAAGTACCTCCTTAAGCGTTCATTTATCAGTAATAATGATCTATAATAGCATAATACTTTACTTTGGATACTTGTTAAAAAATGATGGGCAATTCAGAATCATGTGTATGTGGATACAGAAAAGAAAACAGGAAAGAGGATGATGAAAAATTAAAGTAACGCTAACATTTTTATTTTATTTTGAATAAACAGAGTTTATACAAATGCTTGAAAAGTGAGTTAATAACACATGGAATTGAAATTGATTAAATAAAGGTCTGTAGGTTAAATCAGGCATGTCTAAAGCCTCCACGCATGTCGGACATAATCTACGAAACACATCATTAAAACACAACAACATGATTACCTACTTTGTAGGAAAACAAATTAGTTTAGGCTTTTTGTATTTTAATGATTTGTTAAAAGGCACATTCAATCAGCGCTGCAATTTTCACTGCTGTTGGTTAGTTATGTGATTTTTTAAGTGAGAACCGGGCTTTTTGGCCTTAATAAGATGTGCTGTCACACCGCATTACAAGCTGATATGAGAAAGCTGAAGCCTCATCATCTACTGCAGGCAGAGTGTGTGGGCGAGTTGCCCGAGGCCGCTGTAACATGAGCAGATACTTTCCAGCATAGCGTTTAGAAAATGGTGTAAGATTGAATGTAAAACCTATGCAGAAATATAATAGCATGAATGTTTCAATATGTGTTTTAAATCAAAATCTACTGTGTGTATTGTTTTTGCGATGTATTTTCATATAAGACTTTCTGCTTCGTTCACAATATCTCTTGGTTCCAGCTAGCTAGTTACCTGTTGTAGTGGGGGGAGCTTTCTGCTTGGACCTGGACAACCTGCGAAGCTGACTTTCTGTCTGCCTGCTCTGGGTGTCCACCTGCTCTGTTTCTTCACCTTGGTTCTGTCCTATAATTTCTCCATCCTGTCCCTGTGACAGCTCTGTGCTGTCCATACTGACTGAAATAGAACTCTGTCTATCAAAAGCAGAGGCTCGGGCTTGCCCTCGGGCTTGCTCAGAGCCAAAAAGTTCTTCTGACAGGGGGGCAGGACTCTCCCCCACTCCAGCCATCCTGGGAGGTGACTTGCCGTTGGCCTCTTCTTGTGGGCTGCCTTCACCCTCGAAAAGTTCTGGAGTGAAGAACACGGTTTGGTCCTCTTCCTTTTCATCTGTACTGTCTACTGAGGGCAGTTCACTTTTACAGGTGGAAGGTGGAGAAGGCTCCAAAAGCTGATTGTGTGCTTCCAATTTGATTCCACCGGAACCATCTCCACTCTCTTGCTTAAGAAAAGTTGGCTTTTGTGGAGACGAGATCGGCTGCTTCTCCTTGTGCTCTGAATCCGTAGATGTTTCAAAGAGCTGGCTGGAATTACATACTGCTTTTTCTTTGAAGATTGGCTTCCTGAAGCAGGTGCTGGCGGGGCTGAAAATGTTGTACAGAGGCGGATCTGTGTTTCTTTTTTGATGTAAGGGCTCCGCTGGGGTACTGTGCATCGTATTCAACCGTTCTGCATCAAGGAAACAAAACAAAACATTTACAGTGGATATTTATTGACCTTATACCAGCATATTAAACCTGCACATCTTGGAAAATATATCTGATCATATTTTATATTAACTTATATTGCAATTGCGATTTGATAAATAATATTGGAGGTAATGATAATTTTGATGGGAATTTACAGTGATTCAATATATATGTAGGTTTCCTCGCTATGAAATGTGTCGCCCCTAACCATTGTCAATTATCATACAGAATCACATTATCACTTATATTGAAAAATCTATGGAAGTATATGTATTTAAGAGAATCTGCAACAAACCAAAGTCTGTAGAATATATGTAGCTCTAGAATACCTCATTGAGAATGGTATTTTCACATATTTTGCTTGTGATCTGGATAACATTTGAATATATTGCGCAGCCAAATCACAACAGAAGCACTAAAAAAAAAAAGGTAAGACCTTTTTTGAGGCTCACCATAAAGTGTGACTGGTATGCAGAGCACCGCGGCTGCCGAGGCTATCTTATAAAGAAAGATATAAATGCGGGCTTACGCTCAATATAATCCAAACAAAGGTCAAGGGGATTTAATTAAAAGCAACAGTCCAACATCTGCTCATCAGCTCGCTCCAGCGCCACTCAGGCACGCAAAAGACCTTACAGTAATGAGGCGAGCCACTCAACTGATAGCATGGCCCCCACCCCCAACATCCACCCCAAATTATAAAGGGAGGGGCGGGATGGGGGGGGTCTGCTCCAGCTCTGCTCCCAACACACGGGATTCAACACACAGCTCAAGCTTGTCATGACCCCAAAGACAATGGATGCTAGTCGAGGCGATGTGCAAACATGTCACCTAAGAATATTTTCTGTGGTGATGTCATACATCCTTTAGCATGTTTAGAGATTCTACTAGCTACATTATGTGATTGTTTTTTATTTAAAATGTTTTAACACAAAAGAGGACAATTATAATTATGTGCATTCCTATCATGACTAGATTAGATTGAAAGCAGATACATTTATTTACATTATAAGGCATTATACAAATAAGGCAGAACTTTTGAATGACTTAGTAATGTATTTGGTTTCAATGCAGAATGAAACATTGTTTCTACGCAAGCTTTTCAGTTGAGGGGGATGTGCTGTCCGTTTTGGTACCACTTTGGGTTCCATGACGAAACATTACTTTTTTTTTCAAAGGGGGTAGGACTTGAACCAATTGTGTGTCAATCCGCTGCAGAAAATAGTCCCTAACAAATATACTACAGTGACCAGCCAGTTTAGAAAATTGGTAAAAAATGACTATATACACCTGAGACTAGATTTACATCTTCAGTCAAATACAGGGGCTTTAGGCAACTAGGGTTACAGCTAAGGGCCAACGGGGGTAAAGAAGTAGCATTGAAGAGTAACATATTTCTGTCCTTGCTAAGGCAGCACTTGGGAAATTGTACACATTTTACAACATATTGTAATTGATTTTGTGGGATTTGTTTTATTGTGCATTTTATTTAATCTCTTGTTTAAGTATCCAGGTTCCAATTAGCCTGAGACTGTCCCAATTTGTCCTTCTACCTTTTTCTGACACTGCACCATCCACTCATCACTAATTAAACAGTGAAGTTATTAGATAGGCCTTAAAAGAACTGAGACCAGTCTCACAGAAACAAATCATGAATTGTGATATTGGGAAGGGCTTTGAATAAGACTTGAGATAGATATTAACCTTGCAGTACCGAAACCTGTCTTTCAATTTTGCTCACCTGCTTTTTCTTGTTGTTCAGCTTTCAACTGTGTACGAGAAAATAAATGGACGCTTGTTGGGCTTGTGTCAAGCTTGGGTACAGGTGGTTTGACACATGAGCTTGGTGTCTGATGTTCTGTGGCTTTTGGTGGGCTCTCATTCTCAAGAGTTACTGACAAGAGGCTTTTTGGAGATGAGGCAGTAGAGCTGAGACTCTGACTGGCTGCCAGAGCCACCAACGCTTTCTGTTGAACCTCAGAGAACGCTACCAGAGACTGCATGGCATTGCCGAAGTTGTCGTGATGCTGGACAAGCTGGCGAACCCATTTAGACAGACCTGAGATTAAACAAACACACACATCAAAGACGAACACTACCACAAACCTTACAGTGGATAACTATTGCCATCTAGTGTTCAAGTTGAGAGGCTGTGCAGTTATTACATTCAGCCATTGTTCACACACTGTATTGAGTACCTGTGATGTACTTATTGGGATTATTCCGGAAACGGTCATCCACTAGAATTAAGGCACCCCAGTCATTCTTGTGGCGGATACACCTGTTAAAAGAAGTTTGAGGGTTAGAGTGTAAAAGATTAAGAGTACAAAAGATCATCTTTAATACCACTCTAGCTGTAGAGGGTGGATTTACCTTCCCAGGGCCTGGTTCAAAGCTCTGTAGGCCTGAATCTCGTACCAGCGAGAGCCTGGGAGAAGACCTCTGGATTTGCAGTGTTGGTCATTGTACTTCATCTTCAATTCCACCTGAAACCACAGGCCAGGATATTCAAAGCAGATTCAAATAAATAGGGAAGACTGAAGTGCTTCTACCGTTGCCACAGCGCCCTGAACTAGTAATGGAAACGCAAATAAATGTTGCCTGCTTTGCTGGGTGCACCCAAAAGTGTGTAAGTGTGTAAGTGTGTGTGTGTGTGTGTGTGTGTGTGTGTGTGTGTGTGTGTAAGAAACACTGGCACGACAGTACAAAACAACAACAAAAATGTGCTTGTGAAATTAAGCTATTACAACATTTTGTTTCTTCCTTTGGGGGGAAACACTATGTAATAATAATAATGTATAGATCCCAAATGTTCCATGCAATTAGAAATAGTAATCCAAAACTACTAAATATAGGCCAACCTCATCAACATTTACATTTGTTCTCAGAGCGATTGTGTCGTTTGTGGTGATGGAAGGTGTTTTTGTGTACAGAAGGTGTGGCACACAAAGGATGAGAGCAGCAGTTAGAAATCTGTTTCAGCAACTTACTATATTGTGAGGTTTAGTGGCTGATCTGCAGAAAACATTATCAGATCTAAAGTAATTAAAAACTTTCAGGTACCATAAAGAAGGGGTTTGAAGTATCAAAATTCGTCACAGAGCATCCTGGTGCAATTTCAGTTGAGACATGCAGTTGTCATTACTCTCCTTCCATTCAGTCAGTTTCTATTGCTTACTATATGAAGGTGAAATGCCCAAAAAGATGTTGAAGAAAAGTTGCTGGCTACCTAACGAATGCTGACATGTATAATAACAAATATGCTCTCAAAAACAATTCTGAGTTCCATTTATGTCAAATGAGAAATAATCAGATTAATTAATTAATTAATTAATTAATTAATTAATTAAGGGGAAAACAATTTGGCATTTGATCCAGAGCAAGCTAAACACCATACTAAGAACCTGAAGGGATTGTGTCTCACCTACTGCAGATTTGTTCTGAAAGGGGAACAAAAGGGCTAAAGAGAGGCCATGACAGAGTGGAGTGAAGGTATGAGGGGCAAACAAGGTGGCCTAGGTGACATGAAGCATCCCTGCACAAAAATGCCAGGAAAGCATCCATCCATTTGCATCTGTCGCTGCTGATTTTAGCACTAACCTTTCAGAATTGACAAGTGAAAAGTTCAGTTGGCGTCTGACGGTATGCCATGCGGGGCAGGCTGCTGAACAGGGCTTTAACTGCTTTTGACAGGTACCGTGTGTTCGCCCTGAGCCCCCAAACACGGGGCCATGCCAGGTACAGCCTGTTCCCTGGCGCACATCACGCTATGCCACTGTGGCCCGTCAGGGCTTCGGTAGGTAAACAAACAAGAAGAGTCACAGGATTTCCTAAATGTCGTCCCTAAAGTTGGACTATGACTAATAACACCTCACCTCAGAAGCATTGTCACAACTGAGCAACACCTGCCACCATGGAAAACCTGAATTGGAAAACTTGTATAGTCTTTAAGAGATTAAAAATCATATATGTATTTGCATGAAAACAGTAGTGTCAGCAAGAGGAGACTCAACAACTCATATAGGCATGTCGAAGGAGTTAATGCTGCTGGCTTCATGGTGAGATGTTCATGAATGTATGAGACACCGGAGCAGTTAAAGAATCCACTTCTAAACCCACAGCTGGAACAGAAAGGCCATTAGCCTCAAGCCGGAAGTGTCATCTAAATCCAATCACAGTCCACTTCAGCGTTCGAGCCATCACATCCCTGGTCTCTACCATGTCACCGTCCAATCTAACATGACAGGTTGCATATGTGAAAAAGCCAATTCTGGCTGCTAGCAAGTCTCGCAAATGTGCAAGAAACCACAAGCTGGAAGGGATTAGTTAAAATGTCAAGGGATCACTCGCTTGCTTTGGCCTTGTCCTCTACAGCAACCTGTTCATCCCTAAAAACATATATTTGACCACTAGGCATGATTCGCAGCTGAGCGCATTTGTTTGAGCTATATTTTACGCGGGGTGTGTGTATGTGCGCGTTAGTGTGCATGCCTCTGGCAGTCCAGGACATCTTTTGCTTGTCACTGAGATTGCTGAGCGCCTCATCTGCCACATAAGGCTGAACTGACAGCTGAGTGGCTCATCTTGAAGACAGTGTCCATGTGTGTGTGCGCACACGCTCACAAGAGCAACAAACTATCACACTCTTTTCCAACAAGCTCATGGATCCGCTCACAGTAAGGCTATACACAAAATCTTACTTATTAATTGATTGTTTTATTCTTGTTCCACTAAAAAGTTGACTTTTAGAGCAACGTTGAAAATTCTTTGTTGTCACTTGTTCACAATTCTGGATATTTGCAACAGCGACTCAGTTTGGCGTGACCTAAGTAATTTCATTGCACAAGGATGGGTTGTGTAAATTAATGTTTGTTTTTTATTTGAGATAAAACAATTTTGATATTATGTTGCAGCACTCTGCCCACAGTCCAACATGAAATTACAAAAAAGTTGCGCTGCCCCCAAGACTAATGAATGATATACCGATATGATTGTTTGTTTATTGGAGAAAGTGGCAGAACCAAGAAAACGACCCCATCCAGGCCTCATCCACCCCGTCCGAGGGAGCTACTTTGCCTTGAGTAGAGTGTGAGGGGCTCTGGGAAACGATACCAAGTTATTAGTTAGCTTAAATTCATCCTGAAAAACACAAGCACCAAGAATATGACCCAACTTTACGTTTCTGACGTTAAACAGGTTAAATATAATTCTCCTTCAGCCCAATTATTGGCAACAGGGTTTATACTTGGACGCTGATGGGGCTTGCTTTTTTGTTGAGGTTGTATTATCGTTTCTGCCACTTTAGCTTTAGTCAAACAAACAGTCTATTAAAGCAAAGTGTCAATCTTATGGCTGCTCTGACTCAGACTGGTGTCTAATCTGTATTTTTTTATTCAAACCTGTCTAGGCCTCACCCAGCGGTCTCTCATGTTGTCTTCCAGTTTTCTAAGCAATAAGCATACATAATACTTGATTTGAACAAAATAAACTCACATGGAAAATACATTTGTATCCACTTTGAATGAAATTGTTTTGACTGTCTTTGTTCTTATCCAACCCCTCCTTTTGCTTGGATTCATCTTAAGCGGTCTACAGACTGGGAATCTTAACATTTTTGTTGCACCAACCAACCAACTTCTATACAGAGCAACAAGTACTGAAAACTAAGAAAAAAATATGGTAAAAAAGGTTTGACTTATTTTCATGTAAGGTTTCTTGTGCTTGAGCAGTGTTTAACATTGTTTATATTTGTTAAGTTTTGGTATTAGTATTTAAACTGTTATTGTATTTGGAATTGAAATGATCTTTAACAAAAAACATTGTGTAGGAATAGGACTACATTTTGTTACATGGCAAAAAATGGGTTGAACGAACTAAAAAAAATGGGCCATTGGTGCTGACAAGGACAGCACAAGGGCTGATTGTGTATTACATAGCTTTTCTTCAGTTGCTGATGATAAAGCCACATGTAGAGTCTTGAGTGCGCCTGGAGCATCCATCATTCCGTCCGCTGGATGATTTCCATGAACTCTTCAACATTCCTCCAAAATCTCCTTTATCCATCCGTTTGACATGCTTGCAGGCTTTCAAATTAAAACGCTCCTGTGTCTGTCTTTAATAAAGGGCAATGGCAAAAGGTTGACTGAGCCCTTCATTAAAATAAAAGAGATGCCTTATCAGTTGTAAGTGTCTTTTTATTGCTTGTTAAAGCCACTTATTGTTTGACTCACTCACGCACGACGTGACTGTTCACTGTAAAACATACCATTGGAAAAACTCAACATAAATGTAATACCACCTTTGGCAGGGCTTTCTCTGCAGAGGACTTTTCAAGTTCAACCTTTGATCTTTGTCACAATAACACAACAGGCCAGTAAAATGCCATGCTATGTGCTTAGGTTGAAGCTTCTAAGAGTTATGCCTGTCTGGGAATGCAGGCCATGCAGGCATCTAAAGTGCTGCAGCAGTTTAAATGAAGAGAAGCTGGGCTTACACCTCTTATCCTAGCAATGGGGTGCTGCCGTGTGAGTGTGGCATTGAATGAATGAATGAATATGTCTGGGTCCATGTGTGCTCTTACGAGAATGTGCACATGTTACCACTAGTGCATGAAGTGACAATGTAAGAACATGTCACGCATGTGTTTGTGTGTACTCGGGGAACTTCTAGTGCGAAACATATGGTGTAAATATGATAGTGTGTTAATACAACGCATTCATGAAGGTGAACATGTGTTTAAAGACTAATAGCTAATAATATGCTAAGCTACTTGTATTTTGAAAAAGAAAACTTGGCATGCATCATGAAGCAGAGGCCCACCGCCTTATCCAAATTAAGACTGCCGCTGTTAAAGCCAAATAAAAAAATATTCACTTAATAGTCCTACAAAATAGCAGAGGTGCTTCAACACACTGGCTATAACTTACAAGCTGTTTAAGCAACAATATAACAGTGTATTTCAGAAAGCAAAATTAACAGAGCTGCATTGTGGTAAAAAAGGTTGAACTTCAGCTATTTGGCAACACTCGCTTGGAACAACATGAGTATTGATCACCACGTTTCTATATACAACCAAGCATCATTGCTCAGAGTACACTGAATCTCTCCTCCCGTGGAATTGAACATAACATGTAATAGTATCGACTATCCAATGTCTGTGTGTGTGTGTGTGTGTGTATGTTTGTCTGTATGTGTGTCCTTATAGGGCCTATTATCTCTCAGACAGAGTGCTGCAGCAGTAATCTTGCTCCTTTAACATGAGGGCTACGAGGGCTAGCTGCATGGCTTTGAAAGTCATTAGTGTCAGTGTCCCCATCCTCTCAGCGGTGTAATGGGGTTAGCTCAAAGACCTTTACTGCCCCTTCAGAGCTTCCCTAGGGGCCACACTGCCTCTGCCATGGAAGAGGAGATAACAGGAGGAGGAAAAGACAACTAGAGAGAAGACAAAGGAGAACTGAGGAAAGCTGAGGCTAAAGATGCAAAGAAAGACTCTATGATCTAGAATGTTACAAGCATGGTCTCTTGGTTCTCATCAAAGATGACACAATAACATATATAGTATACCTCTTAAATAATACAATTCAACACCGTGCCTTAAAAAAGGCATAATGACTGAATCTCCACTGAAAGCCAGGCAAAGCTTGCCTGATTTTACACACAACTTTCAACTTGTCTCTTCATTTCCATCTTCGGGGGAAGAGCTGAATGCAGAAAATGTTGAGCGATACAGGTGGCTATGGCTCACAGCTTGACAAAGGTTTTAGTCCTGCCCATTCCTCCAATTTGCTTATTATTGGCTCCCCTCCAACACTCATTGGCTTGATTTTTTTTGTTGTTGTTGTACCAGTGCCTTTATTGGAAAGACACAGTTAAAAGGGGCAGACAGACCAGATGACATCGTAAGTCTTCCTTGGGTCGGATTGGAACCCAGGACCTCTGCCAGCGCTGCCAAATAAGCTATATGCGTCCGGCTTAATTGATTTTAACCGAAAAAACAACATCAAAATTCAAGATGAATCAATCAACTCTTTTAGAAGTTTTAAAGACTCGAGGGCTGATATTTTGACTAGCTGTAGCTTGACAGAAACCAACATCATAAGATACAGTATAGACAACAGTTGTCGTGAATAACTGCTTCTTATATGTAAAGACAAATATAAAAACACAGAGTAATACTGCAGATGTAAAAATGTATGCCTTGCTCTGGGTTACTGATCCTACGTCGTAGAGATGACACATTGTCAATCTGTGGTTGAAGGATTTATAAACGTATATAAAGTGTCCTCCCTATACATAACCACAAGTCAAAATAATTAAAAAGCATTAGAGGACTATAATGATTTCCTTGAGTACAAGTGAAATTAAAGCACTAAAGATCTCTCTCTCATGCCTGCACTCTTTATGTTGCCCAGTGCCTGTCACTTTTTTAAACATCATGAAATGTTATACATTGAGTGTTGCCCTGGTTAGGTTGGGCTTGTTGTGGTTATTATTGTTCACAATCTATAAACAATGCAGTATGTTAAGGGTGATCAATGATTGAGCATGACAAAAATGAAATGTCAGATTTTGTTGTCTAAAAAATGCAGTAAGAAGTCAAAGTGTCAGCAGTAACAATAATCAGCCTTGCCTACCCGATCTTACAGCCGCCAACATTATGACAAGATGTGGCAGGAGTTATCAAACTCTCCAAGGAGCTGAGCACATACACAGAGGTTGTTGATGTAGAGCACAGATTACGTCATTAGAAATGCAAAGTCCCCTCACGCTTGGTCAGTTCCACCTTGGCCCTATGAAGCAATGTTTTGTCAATCCTGGTCATCTGCTCCACCCATGTATATCCAGTTTTTAACTCATTTAGGAACATTACCGTTGGTTCCTATTAAACATTTAGATATTCAAACAGGGTAACAAATATAGCTTCTTTTTGTAATGCTCATGATTTACTTAAGAAATCAGGACAACGTAGTTCTAAGAAACTTTCCTCAAACAATGGAGCTCTATGGCAAAAAGAAAACAAATATATATGGCACACAAAAATCCCCAAATTACGTTGATACCTGACAATGACACACTTGGGTGAATACCATAGAGATATAATAAATATTGAGTTTCACCCTAATCAAGTCATCAAGATTTATTTTTCAGGATCATTTTGCTTTCATTTAAAAGGTCTGATGTATTCATGAGATAGGATGTTGCTTTGCCTTCAATTGTCCCCTAAGTGGATATTGATTGGGTAATAATTTGTATAAGGACTTTGCACAGTGAAGCAATATAACAAACATATATAAATTGTTTGATTAAACAATTCTCATTTAGTGCCACCATCAAGCGCAAAATAGCACCTAGCTCTGTCTGAATGCGCAAAATAGATACATTTCAGACAAGGTTGGTTGATCATTTTTCTTTCACTTCTCTCCTCTATTGTAAACTACATGAGATGAGTTGTTTTGTCTTTTATATTTTAGTTTTTACATGGATGAAGTGTGTAAATGTGTGTGTGAGTGCTTATGTTTGTGGACCCTATGAAGAGCCAATGCTCATGCTAGTGCTAATTGGGATCCTAATAAAGACATTTCTTATGGTCAAACTATACGGGGTAATAACTCTTATATGGCCATCTATGTACCTAAACACCAGTACTATGACAAAATACAACGTTTAAAAAAAATCTCATAAAAGAAGAAGAAATGCCCCGAGAACTGACAGTGGTGAGACTGACAGCTTTGGCTAAGGTGAAGGGGTCCGGGAAGCTTCAATCACCCCCACGTCTGGCCACACTGACAGAACAGGTTAGTGAAAGCTTCGTCGTGCCCTGACAGCAGGATGTGGAGGAGTAAAGGGGAGGAGAGGTGGGAGGCGGGGAGACAGTGAAACTTAAAGGTCAACTTTATTTGCTAAGGACAGGGCACACACAGCAACATCGCTTTGGGATTTTATTTTACGGATCACCAAAAGGCGATGCTCTTATTTGGTGTGGTTTTGTGCGTGTGCATCGATGTCTGTGAGATATTGTGTTCATGGTATTCAAAATGTTTGATGTTGACCAAGAAAGAGAAGTAGCGGACATATACTGCAATTTCTTTTCCAAACTCAGTACTATTTGATGATGATTTTGTACAGCTATTGCATTGGTTAGAGACCAAACATGAGTGGTCTTCACCACATTGGTCGAGAGTAGTTGATCAAGTGTGAATCATATATATAAACTGATGCAGACATTGTTGAGCTGAGGCTTTGTCCTGATTAAAGCACTCTTACACTTACACAAGTATTTAAGTGTAGAATGACCTCGTAAAATGACCTTTATGTCATATGGAGCAATTATTTGTTTACAATTTACTTATAAAACTATTGGATACAGAGTAAAAATGGTACTTACCATGCCATGGTCTAGGCCAAAACTTACTGAATGTAATATTCACGCCACGTCTGTATAATATTAAATGTTGTAAATGTGTGCTTTTTCAAATTTAATTTCCCTTGCATACATAGAACGCTAGCAAAAAAGCATCTTATGAAGGGTAAAATAATTCAACTTGGTTTGCAAAGGTCATCTTCTACAGAATTAGTTTCAATATTATTTATCTTTTTTTCCACCCATGTAAAAAGAATTCTCCCAACCGTAGACTTTTGCCATTTTCCCCAACCTTTTTTTTAAATTACATTTTACAATGCATCATTAACAAATGCATTCATAAAATCTTGCTACTCACATCTTTGCACATTTCTGAGTTTTGCATCATTGGTTTAGGTCTTTTAGAACCAATTAAGGCCTTATTTTTAGATTTCTTAATTCAATACTTTTTAAAAGGAACTGCAGGAATGCTGTTTTATCTTTGCTTGGACCAAAGACCACTGTTTCACCTGTTTCCCCCCTGTGCAGAATATCTGCATCCTGCTGTGATTTTACTTACTTGGAGATCTTTGATGTTTGGGAAGGGAATTCCAATAGTGACCACAGCCCTGGCATTGTCATCAGTGAAGTCTAGTCCTTCACTCACTTTACCTCTACAGACCGCGATTAGCAGTGCACCATCTATTACAAAGAAACCACAGTATATAAAACACTATAAATAACAAGTTATATAGAGTTGAACTGTGAAATGACTATTCTATTTTAAATTATGATCAGATTTACAATGTATGCACTAAAATAGATCATCTCCATGAACTGGTCTAAAAGTCAGTATGATGTTTAATGGTCTCACCTCTTTCCACGCAGTACTTGATGGCATCGTAGTATGTCTGCAGCAGTTCATCAAAATTCCCCTTGCCACCGCCGCGGGGCTCTGTGATCACAGCTTTACATTGTTCGAGCTTCTCCCAGAGACCTGTGTTGATCCATCGGTCTCGCAGCTTGTCGAGCATCTGAACAAATCACAGGAGGTATCGTGTAAATATAGGTGCTGGATTGGGCTTCAGCCCCAAACATTTTTTGATTTTCAAGTTGAACCAACTGCAAACCAGACTAGAACCAGCACTAAACTAGAACAGAACTCTAATTAGTGAAAAGGGGTAATCAGACCTCCATCTGTGTCTGGGGCAGCATTAGCTCAGTTTGTATAGGATAAAAAAGACCAAAGTATCTTATACATAGATACACATACATAATGTATATACTTTTTTTGGTTCTCCTGGGTCCTACCAATGTGTCCCTGAGCAAAGCACTAACAAACCAACTGACAGCTCTCCATAAATAGCATGCATTTGAGCATGTGTATTTGGAGCCTATGTGTATAGGTCCTGTTTGCATGCTACTGCATGTACTGTTTATACTAAAAGTGAAAACTTCCCTTGAGTGATTAATTAACTATGTCTTCTACTACACAGGATGCACTAAGGCACCGCATCAAGTGTATAAGTGTAGGTCACCCGTATTTTATCAGCACTTAAAACAGCCCAACAAACAATCTCTATTGCTCCCCCCATGAAAAGACATTGCAGCATAACATAATGCTGTAACGTACCCTAAGTAGATACCAGGTTGTTTGAATAAGAGCATTTCTGTTCCATCATATACATCATGACACTAAGTCTGAAAACTTGTAGCAAAGAACAGGAAGCATTTAGCTACCCATGTTTGCTCCTATGTCCCCACACAGCTTTTAGACCCCCTTAGTAATAAAATCACTGTTCCCATACTATTGTTAATGCAAAAAGTCAGCAGCTCTCGAGGGAGGCACATTGATCTAAAAGCCCTCATCCTAGCCTGGCCCCACTCATGTCTGTGCTGCGCAGATCAAATCCTTCAATAAGCATGGCTTCATAATCAAAGAGCAGCTTCACTGGCTCAGAAATGTGTTAGAAGGGTCAAGGAGAAGTTCTTCTTGTCGTCAGCAGAAAACTTCTCAACAAGCAAATAGTGTCAAGCTGTAAAGCCTGGGCCTAATGCAGTCAACAGATGGGAGGAAGGTGGAGAGTATTCACTGAGGTTTTGTCCCCAACAAAACACTGATTCTGGTTACCTGCATCAGCCAACTCCAGTGTTCCTTAAAAACACCGCACAAAGCAGCACCGGCATTTACTCTGCTGCTTGTGTGCGGTACAGAGGACAACAAGAATGGCGGCCAGGGAAATGAGACCGTATGAGAGCGTTGATCATTTCTTGCATGCCAGTGTGATTGCCTCATAGTGGTGAAATGAAGCATGGGGAAGATTTCGTCAGGTTGGTGCCTCCTAAAGCAAGTGAGCCCGGGACGTTACCATCAATAAAACATGGCACATTCACTAAATATGCAGTGTTACATCGACGAGGACCCCCCTTACGTGCGTCTTCAACTCAGTAAACTGTTTGTACTCCAATAGCTTTCCAGTGCAATCTTGAGCAGCAGATGAATAATTTATCTTATGTACTTTAGGCAGATCTACTACTAAACAAAACAGTCATTATCTGCCAGGCTGCACTTGGAAAGGAGCCGATTCCAGGAGGCGAAGAGTATAAAGGAAAAATGCTCTTGCTGATAAAATGCAACAGGGTTGGTAAATACAGAACAAAGGGAAGTGTCCTGCAACCAATATTATTATATCTCTACTTTATTTGACTGTACTACCCATATCATGTTTTCACTCGTTTATTTTTTTTAAAGTGAAACTAAAGGTTGCTTCTTGGATTTGTAACATTAAAGTGGCCATATTAAGCTCATTTTCAGGTTCATATTTCTATTTTGTGCCTCTACTATGACATGTTTTCATGCTCTAATGGTCTTTATTTTTCTCATACTGCAGCACCTCTTTTCACCCTCTGTCTGAAACCAGAGCCCAGTCTGCTCTGATTGGTTAGCTGGCCAGCTCTGTTGTGATTGGTCAACCGCTTAGAGATAGATGCCCCCCCCTTTAACCTATCACGTACAATGTCTTGGAGAGCTAGCCAATAGAAGCGCACATGTAACATAGTGATGTAATTATGTTACAGAAGTAAAAAGGAGTCCAAAAAGGAGAGAGATCCTTGGGAATTTAGCCTTTGACCATTTACATTCACAAAAACCTATAGAACACACTACAGGAAAGGGAAACGCCCCAAAAGATAAACAGTGAACCTCTAAATAATGAAAATAGACATTCTAAGGCCATTACGGATGAGTAAATCCCATCATGGAGGAACCCTTTGAGTGGCTTTAAATAAGATCGTATTTCAAGCTCACAGTATTCTACCAATTTATGAAGCCACAAAACTTGGTCCAAATGTAATTGAATATCTAAAGAACATGGAAATATCCAAATAATAATACAAATAAATAAAATAATGGTATCATTTATTCAGAGAAAGCTTTTACACTATACATATACAGATAAAAACGAATTTAAAAACAATCACACATAATAGTAATTTACACCCTGGAGTCAAGTCCTTGGAACAGGGAATGTTCCAAATCTAATTCTCATATTAAATTCATAAAGGAAATATATGTACAAAAGCTGGTTCCAAGTGGGTTTAAACAATTCACCCATTCATATTAGACTATGTCCAACCAAGGTGTTACTTTACTTTAGTCAGCATTAATATAGGCCATGTACATCACGAGACTGGTCTGATAACTCAAACTGCATGGGTGTGAACTAGAGCATTTTACTGTGCAGTCATATGCATTTTCAGCACCTTCAGCAAAGGCTTTCAGCCATGCAAATGTTAGACACTCAACACAGAAATTACAGACACCAAAATTATAGACATGAGCACCTTCATCAATATTTTAGGGACAACATCTGACACAGACCGGTGTTTAGCTGACAGGCTGGGCTATAAAATGTCAATCTGCAGGCTCAACTACACACCTCTTTGTATAACTTCAAGACAAAAAAAACAAAGGAAGCTGGTATTCAAACGGAAGGGCTTTTTTTGAACTGGGGTTGTACGAGGTTCGTATCGTTAGTCGGTGTATTATGAGGCAGCATGGGAGCAAGCCAATTTACTGGTGTGGTTGGGAGAGCAAGTAAAAAAAAAATTTAGCCACCGAAAAAAATTACTATTATTATAAAAAAAAAATCACCACCTTACCTTGTCGTCGGAAAGCACAAAAATAATCTCAATCTACACTCAGGTGCAAGTTCAACATTCGCTGGTTTGTGTTATTGTGCAGCTTTGACGAATACAAAATCGCTCTAAAACAACAAAGTCACACAATATAAGTTTGTTTAAGCGAGAAATAACAGTGTTATAACTATACATTTATTCATTCTATTTTTTGGATTGAATAAAAAAAAAGCGGTCATTAAAACCCAATTTGCCCCAAGATAAATAAAGCATACTGACTTTGGTTATTTAGATACAGGGTTTGAGATCATTTTAGTGCATAGGAAGGTTTTACCAATTTAGAACAACCTTTACTTACCAAGATTAATAGACATTGCCTTTTTCAGAAAACATAATCTATTGTTCTGATTGTCTCAAAAGATATTGAAGTGTTCATTTAAAAAGGGAATGTATTCTATACTTTCCAGTTCTTAAAAAGAAGCACAGCTAGGCAACATAAATGGGAATGAGCAGTATTTAGCACATAAGAAGCCACAACAAGGTTTGAATAATTCATCGCCTTTTCCAGGCATGGTAGGTGCTATGCTCAGCCCTTGCCAGTGACACGGTTAAGTGGGGAAGATCTTTCTGCCAATTGAGACAATGTGGCGAAACAACTAGAGAGAAGCAGTGAACTGTAGTCTTCCTTGCACTTTTACACATCCCCTCTAATCCCTGGTAACTATCTCCCCATCTTTCACCTCCTCTGCATCCGGCCTCTCCTTCCCCGTGTCCCCGGTGTCAGTGAGCTGTGTGGCGACACATCGCAGCTCCTCTAGTGACTGCTGAATTATGGAGGGGCTTTGGAGGCGACGGCATTAATGAAACATGCAGACAGGAGCCACATTTCGTGGTGGCGAGGGGAGACGTGTTGTTGCACCTTAAATTATTTAGCCCCAAAATATCACAGTAACCATCACGCCAAGACTAGTGGCAAAAAGCCACCTGCCACCTCTGGCATGCCACTCTCCTCCTGTCGTCTGCTGCTCACATCCCCGCCACAAAGGTGGGAGCACAACCCAGCAGTAACTCCACCTACTGCCTACAGAAGAAGACACTCTTATAGGCCTTCCTATTCCTTAAAACTAAACTGATATGGTGTATTTTTTGGACATTTGTCTCATCCCTATTTGATAATATATCAAGTATATAAATACAGTGTTATTATTTGTGTATAAAATGATCTTTCCTTAATAAAACATTGTGTAGAATGTAAAAGCTGTTTGCCAGCCGCCCTTAAACAACAAATGAAGAAGAAAACACAAAGAAATAATCAAAATACAAGAAGAAGACAAGTTAGTATGGCAATTTCAGATAACACACAGGAGCTAGAAGACCCACTTGCTTCTTTTAAATCAGCTGTGTGGGAAAATATCGGGTTCCCTGTGGACTACAATAACGATGGAGTGCGAGTGGTGGATCGGACAAGGATGGTGTGTCGGCGTTGTTTGACAGCGGTGCGGTATGCTAATGGTAACACACGCCAAACATGCTAAATCATATCAGAAGGCATCAGCCGGATTTGCCTATCACCGGAGCCCGGCGAAAGACAACAGCAGTTGAACAGCTTATCCCCGCTGTTTTTAAGAAGCCAATAGACATGAAAGCCAAGAGACCAAAAGAAACTAGAGAATTCAATTCCTGAAGAAATTGCTAGTGGGAATGCTTTATGCTGAAAAGCTGACGCTGAATTGCTATGCTGAAATGTAATGTGTAAGAAGAAAGTGAAGAATTTAGATTGAGATGATACATGGACACTGGGGGCTTGAATGTGTGATAAGAGAAGAAAAGAAAGTAAAAAAAAGCAGCAGAATATTTCAACTGCAAACTATTGAACTAGCTTGATGGCAAATGATCTGTCGCCATG